GACAAGTCCGACAAGCACTAGAGCCACAGCATGCGCATGGGTGCTGTAGTCTTGGTGTCACTTGATTTCGAGTGTTCGATTCTGTCAACCAGTTAATTTTTTCAATACGCTTGCACAAACAGAACATGCCCCAGAAGTTCGCGAATACCATGCCCTATTTGTATTGACATACTTGTAGGCGCGTGAGAGTGTACGGAGAGCTCTCCAAAGGTTTTCCAACAATCACTGATATCCGACAAGGATGACCACTGACACTGTGGCAGACACAGGGAAGTCTCCAAAACCCCAGTGTTCGGGATCCTCTGAGCTAGAAGTCTGTAGACTTGAAACATGCACATATTGTTCCCATCTCCTAAAAGGAGTAGGAAGAGCAGGCATTACTAGGAAGCCTGACCGAGGTTGTCCAGTTCTGTACGCACACAAGATGCAAAGCCATGCTACAGGACGTACAGTAAAAAAAACCTATCGTTCAGCTGTAACACCCTACCGGTGCCTAGCTGCCATGCTACCAGAAGGAAGCACGAGGGCTGGGATACTGCCAGGTCGCCCAAGCCTAGGATGGGAAAGTCGAGAGGAAGAGGTCGGGTTCGAAACACGGGACCTTCCGATCGAGCTCTAACCACTTGGGCCATCTCGTACAGTCTTTGGACATAACTCCGAGGATTCAAAGACAACGTACCTTGGAAGTTGCATTAGCTCTGACAGTATTGTGGCAGACGAAGTGAATGCACGAGGGCCAAAATGAAGTTTGCCAAATTCCACCACTTGTCGCGTCGAGGGATTTCGCTAGGTTTCAAGGGGTTCGTGTATCAGACTACAGTAGGAGCTATATTGTTGTATGGCTACGAGATTCGGCCACTTCGGGCGGAGAACGTGGTACATCTTCAAGTCTGACCACCGATCATCATCATCATCATTGTCAGCTGTAACCGATCATCACATCATTGTCAGCTGTAAGAACCGCGTACTGGTCGTACACTGGTTGTAGCTGTCACAGTTTCGTTCACCGATGATTGGGAGGGAAGTAGCTGCGCATTGCACGCGCGAGCTGGTAAATTGGTGCATAAATCCAGCACT